ATTTTATATGTTGCTTTTGATAAAAGCGTCAAGGCCACCATTGGTCTTTAATCTGACTTTTCGGAGCCATTTGGGCCCATTGGCCCATGGATGTCAGCCCCGGGCCCATTCTTAAAAAGTGAATGTGACCCTTCAATTTGAGTGTCATCACCGACCAAAATTAAATCTAATATAAAAAAGTTAATCCTTCATAAATTGTTATTTAAAAATTTCTGTTATGAAAATTGTACATATTTAGCAAAAAAAAAAAAAAGTGCATGTATTTAGTGATCAACATTATCTTGAATATAGTTGTCTTACCTCCGATAGAAGGATATACCGCTAACAAAAAACAGAAGGATACATATTTTGAATAATAAAACTTCTTTCACTCAAAAAAAAAAAAAAAAAAAACAGAAGGATACACATGCCCAGTCAAAAAAAAAAATTGGCACCACCTCCTTCCCTACCAAAATTAATTATTAATGTCAAAGAAGGCAAAATTTTAATTAGTAATAAACAATATTTCATCTAATCAATGACTAATCAAATCGAGACAAAGCAGAGTGCAAGACGGAACTGCTTTTGTATTTAAAATTATTATTGCTGCGAACATATAATTTCTTTAATTAATAGGACACCTCATGTCATATTTTATTCGGTGCATCCACAGCCACGAATTTATGATAAAATAATGAGGAGGATCACAAGCCTTCTTAACATTTTGATCGTTGTTAATTTCACTGGTTAACCTAAATAACGAGTTTTATTGGATGGTCCCTTGATGAAGATTTGACCGCATTACCAAATGCTGAGTGAGATGACACTAATTAACTTTTAAATCACAGTGATATTGAAGTTTGGTTGCTCTGATTATGTTAATGCGCTTGCGATTAGATATTTTATTCGACTCGAGTAATAAATATGATGATGTAATAAGTGGCCACTCACTTTCCTTGAAAAGGGTCACGCATACCTGCCTATTAAATTATTAATTTCTACAATTATACGATATTTATGTTATGAAAAGTATTTTTTACATGGTGCTTATATATAACCTAATAATCAGTGTAAACTATGATCTTCTAGTCTATAACCCCCCCTTTTTTTCTTGCCTGAATTTATGATTAAGCCATATGAATATATCGAATTACTTCTTTTTGGGTGAAACAGTAAATTAGTGTCCATTTGAATTAGTTTGAGAAGGTGATTTCACAATAAATGAAATAAATATATGAGATGATATTTGTTTCATAAAGCGTAAAAGTACTTCAAGCAGTCGCCTAACCTGTTAAAACAAGAAAGAAAAAAAGCATCTAGTTTAAGGCGTTATATGAAAATATTAAGCTGAAATGTTTTTTCTTTTTGATAAAATGATCAATAATACTCTTCCGGTCCTTAATATAGGACCTAATTGTTGAGTTGATTTTGGACCTAAATATAAAACTTACATCTCAGATGTATTAATTTTTTTTAAATTATCTCTATAGATACTCTCTTAACCATAATTAAGTAGAAGAGAGAGAGAGAAGATATTAAGGATGATGATTATGGTGTTTTAAGAAAAATATGTCATATTTTTTTATAATTAACTAACTTACCTAACTTTCTTAATCTAATCATATTAGTTAAATAAATCTTATGTTAAAGACCTAATGAATATAAAATTAAAATGAGTTATACAACTAGAGGAGTTGTAAGAATCCGAGGTTTACAAAGAAGCAATAACGGCAGAAGCCCAATAAAATTATACAAATTTATCAAGTGCTCTCTTTAATAACATGAAAAACCAAGAATCAACTTAAATTAGCATAAATAATCGGGACTCCATCACTCTGTATTATGAATTTAAATCTCAATCTGTACTTGTGTCATAACTTAGCTAGAAATAGTTTATTATTTATCCCTCGGCACACAGAGAAATAGTATGCACAACAAGGAAATTTGTAATCTGAACAATTTCTTCTTCTTTTTTTTTGGGCCACCATTATTGAACAATTTCCTTTGAGCCCCAAAAATGGAACAAGTTTTAAAGCTAGGCAAATTTTAGAGTATGCTCTAAATTTTAGTGGTACATATGTAGTGTCTAAATTCAGCCACCCAATGCCGGAATGATATCGATGCAAGACCCTTTATTTAGACATATAGAAGATGATGATTGGTCAAATGGAATCAATGAACATAATTTAAACAAGAGGGGGGATTTAGGAGAAGACGAGATCAGCGAATCAATGGACATGGAACACGTTTTAAGACATAACCAATTTAAAATTGAAGTCATTGGTTTCAAGTAAATATCACAGGCTTACGTTAACCTCGGAGGGACTGAAGAGACATGAAATCGTGGATTAAAAAAATAACAATAATATCATGGGTGAGAATGTCCTGCGTTTCACAATCAAGCTCGTCAGCATTCATGTGTCTGCCACAAAACAAGTCATTTCAGCACACAGCATAAAGGAATGCAAGTAAGTTGTTTTCACCAAAAAAAAGAGAGAGAGAGAGAGTGAGAGAGAGAGAGAGAGAGAGAGAGAGAGAGAGAGGAATGAGGAATGCAAGCTGTTAAACTCTGATAGGTGGCTCCCCATATATCATTGGATGAAGTTTAATCAAGAGCAAGTGGCCTCTCTTGTGGCTTTATGGTGGACATGTTCATGATGAATATTGTTCGTTCCCTAAAGCGTCGTAATTCGGGACTTTGGGGGACCTAGAGCTACATCCCCTCTTTTATTCTTCCTTCTCATCATCATCAACATATATAGCAATAAGTTTTAGGAGCAGCAATGATTCTTGGTGTGTCCACCTCTGGTTCATTGGGTTATCAACTTTTCAAACTTGTTTTTGGTACCACACTCTTCAAAACTCTCTGAGTAGGTATGGTTAGGTTAAAACCTGTACTTTTTCAAGTTGAGAACATACCAAGTGTGGTCAAATTTTACCCAAACATGCTTGATTTTATAGTGGGGGCCAAGTCACAAGCTTTTACTATACCTGATACTTAATATAAGAACTAAATAATTAATTTGAAAATATTAAAAAATTAATTAAATTAGTTATTTATGATAAATATGTGTTGTTTTCTTTAAGATAATCTTATTAATCATACATATTAGTTATAATTATTATTTGATCAAATATTTAACATGTATAACTGTTATAAGGACTACTATGAGAAAAAATAGATAAATACGAAAGACAAAATGAATGATGATCTTATATTTAAAATTAATTTAAATGTCAAATTAATTTTTATATAAAGATTAGATAGGTTTTTTATGCCCGAGTATTAAAACTATTGGAGTATAGCAATGTTGTAAATTTACTAGGAAAAAAAGAGGGGCTGCGAATTTCTGTTGTGTATTATGTGTGCCTGTGGATCTACATTGATGTTGAGGATAAACAATGCTCTTAGAAAGAATCTAAATTTGACTTGAGAGGATGGGTCTGCGCTTGCTGGTGACGTCTCCTTGTGTCTCTTGCTTCTCCTTCTATAGACGAAAGGCTGGCAATTTTATTTTAACACCTAGCTTGCATTTTCCATGACTTAGAGTATATAACAGCAATTCCCCAACACCCCCCCCCCCAAAAAAAAGAACTTCCTCCACTTTGTCGACAACTGGGAAAAAAAGGCATTTTCTGAGTAACTCATACGTTACTTTTAATCTTAAATATAATATCTGTTATAATGTTACACTATTAATTAGATTTTATATTTAGAATGAAAATAATATATATTACACTATAAATTAGATTTTATATTTAGAAAGGGAGGTAGTATATCATAGTGGCATGAGCAACTTCATTCCCTCTAAAAGCAATAAATATTATATAAAATTTCTTTAATGCTTAATGGGATTTGGGCCTGGAAAAGAGATACAAATTTTGTTCAAATAGAAGTTAGTTAATTCACCAACGGGATTAGGTCTAATAAAATGAGTTAATTTCTTACAATATAATGAACTTAGTTTTAAACTCATACTAGAAGGGGTGTTTATATTTAATATCTGACAGTGTCTTAAATAGGATCATTTTTAATATGAGGATACTTGTGTATACCTTAAAAAGGAAGAAAAAGTCAATGAACCCACACTTAAACAAGTAACAACACTATATGAAAATTGTAGATCGTTTGAGGTTGGGCGAGAAACAATCACAATGAATTGTATGCAACCACCTATGTTCATGTTATAATACACTACCTTAAGTCCTAATTATAAGACCTTATTTGTAGACTATAAATAAGATTTTATAATTAGGACCGGAGATAGTACATATATGACAAGAATAATAATTTCATCTAATGTTCTAAAATATAAAATATCTACTTTAACGTAATTCAAGTGACTCAATCTAATAAACATAATCTTAACACAAATTGGCTTAGTTATATAATTTACTCATAATATATACTAAAACAAAAGTTATTTTGGTTTAAAAAAACAAACGTTATTTGTTTGTGCTCGACTTATTTATATTTCTTTTTAATTTTGAATACCAGTCCAGTACTATGCAGGCTGAGCCCAGTGAATCGCGGGGAATCCTACCCCTCCACAGTCAACACGTTCATTTTGTGTTTCTCATTAACATGCGCATCCATCCATACATACGTGAATTTTCATAAATTATACTTTTTAAATTATAAATAGTGTAATTTATTTTAGAAACTCAGCATTTCTACATGTCTTGTTTGTTACTGGAAAAATTGCAAATTTTACTATTTTCTCCCTCTAATTTATTTTAGCTTGGCCTCCTCTTTTGTTTGCTTTTTACCTGAAAACAACTATTCTTATCTTTTCTTTCAAGCTTGGGCCCATTGCTGTGGAGTTCAGTCGGGCCATTCACCCGTGCATTTTTTGTTGGTACCAAAAAGAAAATGACTTTTGTTTTTTTTCCTTCAGGAACTTGAGGGGAGAAATTAGAAACGTTGCGTTTCGGTTAGGCGTCCGCCGAGCGCGTGGTTGGGGTTGGGGCCGAGAGTGGTTTCTTCCTGTTAGGGCATGTCCGGTCCGTTAAAAAAGAATAAAAACTACTCCAAGGGAATCTCCAAACTGAGATCGAATTCATGAGTGGTGTCATCTTCCAATATTCTCTTCCTTGATGATTTCTATCGGACTGAACCGGTATGGTTTCGTGCGATTATCTCTGGCGGAATTTGGGCATACTGGTTTCGCCTATCTTCGATGGCATTAGACCTCTACGTGACATATATTGACTCTGTTTCAGTCCTCTTCTTTCCCAGTAGCTTCATTTGTGTGTATGAGCTTATAATTTTCATATCGAACCTGTCGGGTTTCGGGCTCACTGGATTGATACAATGGATACTGCAAATGTTGAAAATGGGGCCGGTGCAACATCTGTTGGTGATGTTAGTACTGATTTTGATACCGAAACGGATAAAGTTGTGTTCCCTGAAGGCGAATCACCCAGTGGGGAGGATGTTGGAGATATTGGCATTGATAGCACAACTCTAACAAGGCTGGAGTTGAGTTTAGCAGGTTTCTCTGAGAAAATTACCAACTTGAGCATCTTTATGATGCGTCTAGCTACTATGGATAGTGAATTTGAGGCCTTCGTGCTGGAGAAAGATCACATGGAACTTGATTCTGTTGAGAAGGGTCTTGAGTTTGATCTTTATCGGGGATATTGGATTCGGAGGTTGGAGAATTGGATGAGTTTTTGCACACACTGCGTGCTGAGATTGCTGATGCTCGAGAGAGAACGTCTTCGTGCAACCACTTGGGCGAAACTTGTCTGGTAATGAAAGATAAAATGTGTGATTTTGAGCTGTACTTGAAGCAGTCTGAGGAGCAGTTTTCTGTAATCAAGATGCAATCGGCGAATTTTCAGAGGAATTTGTCCTCTTTTAAGAGGGAAAAAACTGGTAATCATAGGATCCCATTTATTTATTTGTTTGTTTAGAAAATTGTCGTTTTTACGTAGTTGTACAAGTAGAATATTCTTTTATATGTTCCTTAACATCTAAGGGTCCACTTCAGTTTCCTCAGAAATTGTCGTGCAAGGCAGTAAAATTTTCTCACTATTATTAATGCATTATTCTTTCATTAAAAAAAATAAGGAAAAGAATGGAGGGAAAAATTGAAGGCATATTCATTTTATTGTTCACGTGAAGATTTTGCACAAAAGAGATGATACGCTAGTTGGTCATTGAACTGCTTGGCTCAAGATAGCTGCAGGTGAGAAATGATGTTTTCCCCCTTTACTTGCAATGACAACAGGGAAAAATGACGTGGGCGAAATCATCAGAGAGGATAACGAACCTTTTAATGTGAAGCCGGAGATAAATATGCACACAGCTGAGCAGCAAAGAAATATCCTAAGGATGCTAGAGAAATCCTTGGCAAGGGAAATAGATCTTGAGAAAAATTTGAATGACTCCCTGCAAATTCAAGAAGAGCTAAGACTAAGGATATCATCTTTAGAACAGGAGCTAGTTTATGCGGAGGAAGAAGCAACTGATGCGTGGGAAAGGTGGTTTGAGGCAGATGGTGCAAATCAGATCCTGATGGGGATTTCAAGAGACTTACTTGGTAGAATCCAGATTTCTCAGTTCAATCTGAATGGTTTAGCTCAGCGTGAATCCGATCTCAGAGCTAAACTTGATCTTGCTAATTCAGAGGACTCCACTGTAAGTGAAAAGGTGAATTCACTCGAGAAGCAGCTAAAAGAATCTGAACTTCAACTACTGAACACAGAGGCTTCTGCTGATGAATATCAGAAGCTATATAATGTTTTGTGTTCTGATGTACGAGATATGGAAAATCTTATTGTAGAACTGAAAGAAAATGCATCCAAGGCAGAAAGTAGGGCTAATAGTGCAGAAGCTGAGTATAAATTATTGGCAGACAATAATACTAAACTCAATGAAGAGCTGGCCTTAAAAGAGGGTGGCGCTGCCACTAAGAAGGTGGAATTGCTGGAGAGGCGGCTTAAAGAATCTGATCTGCAGTTGCAGCACGCAATAGCATCTGCTGAAGCTAGTCAGGAGAAACAAAATATGTTATATTCTACAATTGAGGATATGAAAAATGTGATTAAGGATCTTAAGTCAAATGTTTATAAATTTGAAAGTCGGGCTGACAGTGCAGAGGAGAAATGTATTGTATTATCTGAATCTAATGCCGAGTTAAATGAGGAGTTAAGTTTTTTGAGGAGTAGATGTGTATGTCTGGAGGAAACTCTGCATCAGGTGGAAAAAAACTAAAATGGCCACAGTGAAAGACATTGGCATGCACATCATGAACTTTAAAACTTTGGTCACTCAGTTGGCTGTAGAGAGAGAGCGTCTTAATAAGCAGGTATATGTTAAGTCTGTTAACTTGTCTTTCAGGTCACAAGTTATAAAACTTTAATGATCTTCCATACTTGGGTGAGTTTATATGAGGATGGGGCTTTGGCCAGCTTTTGGAAAGTCCCTCATTGTGCTGCTTTAACGAAAAAAGTGTACCTTTTTATCATCCACTTTTGATTTGTTAACATTTTGCCAACTTTCAGATGTAGTTTATCTCTATGCACCAGTCAATAGCACAGTTAGGAAGTTAGGATGTCTGCCTGATTTTTGTAATATACCTGCCTACATTATTCTATCTATGCGAATGGTAGTAGTTACTGCTTTCAAAGGCCAGGATGCCAAAATGCATTAGTGCAGTATTTATTTGGTGTTTTTTTAAAGCGATACTTGGATTTGTCTAAATTTATCTGCATATTGTCAAATGTTGAAGTGTAGAGTTCTCTTGCAACTTTTGGTGTCAGTATGTTTACATGTGGTTGCTTCCCTCCCCCCCCCCCCCGGGGGACATTTGATTGTTCATTTCTTATATTTGTTCACTAATCAACAGAGAAATTACTGATATTTTAATAGTCTGAATTGATCTGCATATTATGATAACAGGAGTTTTGGTGACGAAATTATATGGGGGAGGACACATTGTTTCTTCGTTCCATTTTTGAATGACAATTGACTGGGCATCACCATTTTCTATTTCTCTTTTAATTTTGCACCTCTTGTTGGAAGATTTTGGTTGGCTTCTTTAAAAAGGGAAGAGTTTTTGCTATAAAAAGCTTAGCTCTTTAAAAGGCTTTTTTTATTGGCTTTTTGTGCCATTCTTGTTGAAACCTTGTATGTTTCATCCGCAGATATCTTCCTTGGCATTTGAAAACAAAATTTTGGTAGTAAAGCTAGAGAAGATATATAAGGGTCCTCCTCTAGATACTAATGAATCTAACAGAGAAAGTGGTTCGTCTGCTGGAGAAATCAAGGAAGATGTTTGTGAGACTCCTGTCACTTCTCATAAGGTTGGTATTTCGGACTCTGTTGACTTTTTTATATTTTGGTCAGGGGTGGAGGGGTGCGGGTTTACATATACTACTGACTAATGGATAGGAATTATTAATAACCTTAGTTGTTTATGTGGATAATAGTTCGCTATCTATGAACATTCAATCATGCTTGATGACAAAGATGCCGTCCGTTCTTGCTTTCTAGCAATAATTGATCAATGGTGTGATTTGGTCGTTAGTCCCGCTTCACTATTGTTTTGTATCTGAATTACAACAATTCAGTAATTTGGGGCTGCTGTGAATGATTATATCTGCAGGAAGTTTTATATTAGTTATATCTGATGGCGGTTCATGAATATGTGATTTTAAGTTGCTATATGTATTCTCCTTATTTACGGGATGTTCCTGGCTTATATGCAAAATGATCCGTCACTGCCCATTTTTCTATATGAATATATCTTTACCCCGATAAAAAGATAAACTTCTTGGTTTAAGATGCACTGGTGCAACATGTTTATTGGAATAAATACTTGTACATGTGAGGAAAAAGTCTATCTCTGGTTATTGGATGAGCTATTGAGCCGTGCGGTAGTGCATACCAGGTTTTTGTTATAAACTATTTTAATTATTAACTTCTTTCCCCTAATTTTGGGCTATGTCAACTTTATCTTTTCCGGGGTTTAGTATGTTTGCATCATGTTATCTTGGGCTGAACGTAAGAGGATTTTAGTACTTGTGTACTAGGTTCTGGTTAGAATTTTAATCCCGCGAAATGGATCATCCTACTGAACTTACGTCTCTGTTTTTCTTTCTGCAGGAGGACATGAATGGACAGAATTTATCATCTGAGGAGAACGAAATGAAGCCTGCGGAGCGCATGCCTGACATTGGCACTGTGAGGAGGACAGATGCGGGAGTTCTTAGTCTTAAGCACTTGCTCATAGCAATACTTGTCTCACTGGTTTCAGCCGTGGCTTTTTTGCTGTTGAAGGACAAGAATTTTGATTTCAGTCATTAAAAGTACATTGTTATCAGGAATTATAGTTTTTAATTTTTAAATGTAAAGCATGTTTGTGGGGCAAGGAAGCAGGAAGACATGGGACTTCTGGTTCCAAATACCCCCCCCCCCCCCCCGGGAGAGGGGGTTGGTTTTCCCTGCTCTTCGTTTTTTTCCCCATCGAGTGATCAAGATTTTTCTACTTTTTCCGGTTTTTGGATGGTTCTAGTTTGGAATGAACTTGCTGAAAACTGCGATCCTTTAAATGATTGCCGGAAAGCAGAAACAGACACCTTCCTTGCAAGTCATACCGGTTGATCCATGTCATCGGATTTTCCCCCTTAATAATTGACATCCTGAGTTGACTTTTCTGCGTCGGGCGTATTGGAGCTGGAACTGAATTCTATGAATTGTCAAATACTCCTCCTGTCCTTATTATAAGACCCAATTTGATTTTTTATTTGATCCTAATTATAAGACCCGATCTATTTCTCTTTTATATTTATGCATTTTTTTTTCAAGATAATCCTTCTAATAATGATAGTTTTAGCTAATATACTTAATTAGCAAGGATATTTTAGGAATAACAACACTTATTTATTATAAATAACCAACTTAACTTACTTTCTTAATCTCCTCAAATAAGTCAATTGGGTCTTATAATTAGGACCGGAGGAGTATTACTTTTAATTCTTAATATAAGAGCTCGTCTGACTTTTAATTTAGTTTTAAACATAATACAACCTACAATCTTTAATATAAGATCTTGTTTGAATTTTATTTTGATTTTAAATATAAGACTTTAATCTATTTTGTTTTTTATATTTAATTTTTTTAAGATAGTTTTCTAATGATAGTGGTTCAAGCTAATAAACTTAAATAACAAGATATTTTAGAAAAGATAACCTTTATTTATTATAAATAAATAATTTATTTTTTTTAATGTATTCAAATTAGTCAACTAGTTTTTATATTTAAAGTAAGAGGAAGTACTCTGATTCATTTTGTCTTACATATTTATCTATTTTTTTAATGATAGTTCTTGTAATAGTTACATATGTTAAATATTTAATCAAATAACACTTAATGTATGAGAGTATTTTAGGCAAGATAATGCATATTTATTACAAATAACTAACTTAACTAATTTTCTTAATCTATTTAAATTAGTCAACTAGTTCTTATATTAAAAATAGGAGGCAATATGATATTTGATTTTTGGACACCACTCTTGTTACACTACTAGTTAATATTTTTAGTCGGACACTACTAATTAATTTAAGTTATTTAACTTTCCATATAATTATCACTTACTAAATTATACATCCCCTACCCTCTCACCTACTCAAACAAGGAATAGAAGAACAGCTGATCTTGCAAGTTCCATTCCACACAACTTTTTCCTACGAATTCTTAATATTTTAAGAATTGATCTTCGTACGGTGTTTAATAGTCTTCTCAAGAATGGAGGAGAAGATTTTGTTTAATTAAAATCAAATAATGAAAAAATTATAATAAGGTCCCACCTAAGAGAATTAAATACAAAAAAGTTATTTAAAATCGTCAAATTATTTTGAAATCTTAAAGAACCTCATTATAAGAGATTTTATTTGTTAAATTATCAAATTACACTTATGTTTTTTTTTTTAAGTATGCATTTGACAATTGAAAGAGCAGTTGTTAACAATTTCAAGTGTAATGATTAATAACTATCACGGTAGTTATTAACAACACATATCTCAACGTATTACAAAAATATAATGCATGAGTTGTTAATATCTGCCGCGATAACTGTTAATTGTTACACCTTAAGTTATTAATAACTACATTTTCAGTTTTTAATGCATACTTTAAAAAAAAAAAAGGACAATTTGGTAATTAAATAAATAAAATATATTGCAGTGAGGTCTTTTAAAACTTTAGAATAATTTGATGATTTTAAGAGACTTTTGCGTATTTAATTCTCTTATACGAGACTTTATTGTAATTTTCTTTTAAATAATTGTCAGATGGGTGGTAGCATTAACGCTGTGCATGATCTCATTCATTTTTATAATTTTTGCCAACAATTTTTATTTTTATTATTATAATATATAATTGTTTATTTTTGAAGAATTCACAATGCTGTCTTCATTTTGATCTTGTGGACTCGAGTGCAGCCATTGCTTTGGAAAATTTGTCCCTCAGGAAATATTATTTTTTTCGTTTATATGTGACCCCTCTCTCTTGTTTTTCGTACTTTTTTAGGAGAATTATAATCAAATTTTAAAAAATAATTATTAAAAGATTTTAATAATAATTTGATTAGTCCATAATAATGAATTCTAAAATAAATAATCATGACTTCTTCTGAGACCCTGCTTTTTTCCCCTAGCGAGAATCGGAAAAAGAAAATTGATGCTCCGCGAAAGGAAGAAAAATCGTAGGATTTTCCTCGTGGCCCAGTGAAACTTGACAGGTCGAATTCCAAGAACCCATTGCGGTGTGGAGTTCAGAAGGTTCGTTGATTTGTTCGATAGATCCAGCCAAGTTGGGGTTCAGTCTTTTCCGAATATCTGTTCAACCATGGCTAATAACATTCAACTTCCGCCCCTCTTTTCCCTCGAAGATGAATTTGAAGAATCTGGCCCCGATGAACAGGCATCTGATCTCCCATCATCGGCTGCCCGCGATCATTGGTGCACCGACTCCTCCAACCCCTTTGCAACCGTGTCCTTCGACCATTTGAGCAACCATTCGAACTGGTACTCCGATTCGGACTCCGATTCGGTGAGTTGCTTTGTTACAGATCTTTTTGAAAATCGCTCGTCGGAGAACTTTTACCGTCGCTGTAACGATAATTCTGATATTAATCCGTTTTCGGCCGTTCCTTGCGATAGTCACGGTGGAGAAGGGTCAAGTTATGCGGAGAAGGAACTAGGGTCTGGATCTGGAACGGAAAAAAATGATGGGATTTCTGCAGTAGGCGAGACATCGGGCTCTGAAAGGGTTCGTTCGCACGCGGATGGCCTTCGAATTGTCGGGTTTAGTTCTGAGTCGGATTCTAATACCGATGAAGAGCTTGACAGGGCTATAGAATTCAGTTCTGGTGAAAATGATGGCAATAGAATCAATGGCTTTGACGATTTTGATGTTCATTTTTATTGGGACAGCCTTTGCTTGGAGGACCAGAGGACCCTCAATGAACATTTTGAGTGGGAGGATTTAGAGGAAAGAGTCAATGATGGAGAAGACTTGAGTGTGGTGATTGGTGAGGTTGATGATCAATCAGTAGCATCTGGATTTTCCTATGGAGAGGAGTCGGGTGAAGAGGCATTGAGATACCTTGAATGGGAAATTCTGTTAGCGGTCAACAACTTAGAGAGGAATTCAAGCGTTGAAAATGGCGCTACTGCAGGTTCCTTCTTAACGGTTCAGGATGATGGTTATATGAATACAACTGAGTATGATATGTTTTTTGGGCAATTCCTGGAAAATGAGAGTTCCTTAAAGGGAAGTCCTCCTGCCGCAAAAAGTGTCGTGGAGAATCTTCCTCTAGTAGAATTAACAGAGGAGGACTTGGTGGGGGAGAATGTGGCGTGTGCTGTTTGCAAAGATGAAATCATATGGAAGGAAAAAGTGAGAAGGCTTCCCTGCTCACACTTTTACCATGGGGAGTGCATTATGCCATGGCTGAGCATTCGTAATACATGCCCTGTTTGTCGGTATGAACTACCCACTGATGATCCCGATTATGAGCAGAGGAAGAGTCAGAGATCTGCTCATGATCTGTTGGAGTTTGCACTTTAGATGCTAATTTGAATATTTGCTTCAGGTTATAGCTTGGTTCACGTAAATAGCAGTTTGGCCTGTTCCATCTCCAACTGATGATGGGAACACAACTTTTGTAATTAGCTTTCATGTTTTGAATTCACTTCATGTAGCATTACTCATTGTCATGTATGGGCTGGATTCTCATAAAAATAAATAGCATCTTGTGTGGATATTACTAAATAACTATGGCAAGAAGAAATACTTTATTCCCCCGCAAATGGAACTACCCTGATGATATAATGTTCCCATTCATAATCTTATCAGCTACAACTCCTGAATGGATGTGTTTTTGACTCACAATCATGATCTGCAAACGTTGGCCATCTGTACATTTGTAGTTTACCTTATATGCTCCTTCACCTCCCTCGTTGGATTTGCACTCTGAGAGAAATAAGAAACATTTTATTCTGTTATTTAATTGAAAGGTATTTTGGCTGTTTAATCACTTATCAGTTGTCACGTAATTCGTTATTGCTTTTATACACTTTTTTTTTTTGGCTCTTTTGCATAAAGAAATATGTTTTGTCAATGCTTCTGCGCTTTCTAATTGAAGGCAACTGATCATATGAATGTTACTCTCGTCTTGTACTCCGTATGCAGGAAATTAGAAATGTGAAATAACTGATGGTTCTCTTTCAGCAATTGCTCTAAAAGGATTAGTGATTATCCTGTGCTTCATGTTTCAATTTTTCTTGTAAATTACCCTCAATCGGGAAATGAGCGAAAGATACGTGGTTTTCAGCTCAGGGAAGATAACAGCATGGTGAATTCTACAACTTCAAAATTCATGGTGCAGTGAGAACATGAGCTGAATAGCTATAGTGAGTGTGTGAGTCAATTCATGCCCTCACATATCAAAGAACATGAGGAGGCTGTTTATCATATCTTAGAAGTATATATAAATGCTGATTGGGTGGGCTCAATTGTATATTGAAGTCGTACCTCGGGATATTGCGCATCTTTTGGGGAATTTAATAACTCGGATGAGCCAAAAAAAAAAAAAAAGGATTTTGGGGCATGAAATTGTGTAGGGACGAATTCTGTACTATGGCTCATGGAGTGTGAATAAGTTGGGCTGCATTAAGTCTTTAAAGAACTGAAGCTAAACTTGGATTATCCTAAGGAATCATTTTGTGATATAAGGCAGCATTGAATACTGCCCACAACTGGCACTCCATGATCACATGGAGCACGTTGAGATTGATGGGAATTTTATTAAGGAGGATCTGGACAGCAGAAAATTTGCATTTCATTTTATGCATACAATGCAACATACAACTGATGTCCTAACCAGAACTTTGCCTAAATGTAAGTTTGATTCACTTGTAATCAGTTGGGCATGACCGGCATCTGGCCAGCAATGTGAGGGGGTGTCGTTATCTGATCGTGACCTAAAGAGAACTGATTCTTTTGTTTAAGTAAATAACTGACTATTCTGGAATTGCTAAATCCAGATTGCCTCAATTAGTTATCGTCAGTTTGGATTTGGATTTATTTGTTTGATAGATAGGAGGTAACGTGGTTGAGATTTTTCCTCCTCCACACCATTTATTGATACTTATTTACTGTCTGAGTATGAATAAATGGGACATTATTCTTCTGTTAGATCACTTAGATGTAACGCGAAAGCATTGGCCCAAAAAGAAAAACAAAGGGGTAACGCTAAAACATCAAATTGTTCTTACGGTGTATCTAATCTAGCAAAGGTTTTGGACGTTCTTATCCTTTTTATTCTTTATGTAGTCAACCATGGCCCTTAATATACATACATACATGCATATAAACTCTTTAGCTATGTAACGGGCCTAATAAACTTACACATCTTTGTTAAACGTGCAAGTATATTTTGTCACGATAGTTGGCATTTTGATTTGCTATCCACAACTGAGACTCTAGGTTCGCTTTTCTTTCAAGGATAATCTTAACAGTAAACTTATCTTTCCTTTGAGGATGCTAAACTTCGTTATATTCTTTAGGCTTAGTTTTTCTCGTGAATGTTCGATTTTCTTTGATCCTTTAAATTTGCAGGTCAGGCATATGAGCTATAGACATTAAATAATCCTAGAGAAGTTCTACAGATTATTTTCGTTTTGAAGTGAAGCTTTTTGTAATTGTAGACAAACAGCATAAATACTACATCCAGTTTTAAATATAAGATTTCATTTTTAGACTTAGGGGGTGTTTGGCAAAACCAAAACCAAGGTTTCAAAATCACTTTTCCGCAAAACGAGATAATCTCCTCCACATATTTACTTCGTAATCCGTAAAAGCACTTCTGAAACCATGGTTTGGTTTCTATCCAAACACCCCCTTAGGACCGGAGGTAGTATGATGTATAGATGTAAGTATAGCATAGTTTTCAATGCCTTATTAACTAAGTGGTTGGTAGAGATAACGGCCAGCTGCTTGTCATGCAGTTGTATCAGACTTGGAGTTGTATTGTATGGTTCAGGTCCTTTAGGGGTGGATGCCTGTGTCATCAGTCGCCTTTCTGAATCACTGTTTTTCTGTTGTAATTCTTAACAACAGATAAAGTCTATTATTTTTGAAAATACCTCCAGAAAAATGGAGTGACTGTTTGTTCTCTGGCTAGAATTAACTACTATACCTTGCCTAAGTTTTGTTGAATGCCATGTCCCTTACTCCTTTTATGTTCTTGTTGTTTTGAATTATGTGAGGCATTTCTGCCATGTGCAGCTAATACCCAGAAGCGCTAAACAAGTGGATACTGTAATTTGTCAAGAAAACCAGAAGTTGATTTGGGACATTCCAGCTCCTTCCTGAAGAAGCAAGACCAGGTGAAAGACTGTTAAAAGATGAATGTCGATGACATGACTAATCAGTGTATGAGTAAGTGGAGATCACTGCCCACTCTTTCTGATGTTAAATCGAATACAAGGCAGATTATTTTCTAAGGAATGTTATTTGAGCGGAGTTTTTTTTTTTTTTTTAAACCTCAATTTGAGCAGAGTTTTAACTTCATTAATATGTCATTCATATATTTTGTTCATGCACTGTTAATGTGCTTAAGTTGCTTCAGCGGGAACGATTTGGTTGGAGTCTCTCTCCTTGTTGCATAATCTCATATCAATAGAATGTGACTTTGTTTTCCCTACCTCTCCTAGTTTGTTTCTATCTCTCTGAAGGAATGGATGCTAGAATAGCGGGGCAGACGGTACAAGTTTCATGATATGACCTTCTCTGTTCCTTGGTGAAATTTGAACTGACCTTATCTTTTTTGTTCATTAAACAATTCTCTCAAATACGGTTCAGCAACAAGATGGTAAGTACTGTCTGAATTTTAAGCCAGTAGTGGCAAATTAATATGCTTCAGCAAACACCAAGAAATTATGCTTGCTAATGAAAGCTGAAGTGATGGAAAGGAGTCCAATTTATTTGAATAGCTTTATTAGTCAGGTGGTCAAATTTATCACCTTGTGGGATCAATCGGAATAGAAAAGTGTTCAACAGATTAAAGCAAAAGAAAGGAGCAGTTCTTGTGACCAAGACTGAAGAGCAAGATAGTGCAGGAGACAAAAGGGGCGAGAAATTTTGCTTCGCTAAACCTTTTACACTCTAAAAGCACCAGATGCTCGACCCTACCTTGTGACCTCGACAAAATTATCAAATCCTTTGGCTTTCATCACCATCCGTTTCAGGCACTTGCAATCACCTGAAGCCTCAGTCCCCACCACACCATTACCATCGTCATCGTTTTGTACTCATATGAACACTACTTTTCCATTAAAAAAAATTGTGAACCAAAATAGCATTTCTTTGCATTGTTTTACTGCTATTCATCCCAGGGCATGTCTCACTACATGTCGCATCTGGTAAGTGATACTCAGGCCCCAGCTTTCAGCATCGACAATCTCCTAATTCATGTCGTTTTAAGAAGAAAGGAGAAGTAGGTTAGATTGAGAACCAAACCCATTCTTCATTTTTAAATACCAGATGATTTCTGGTCTCTCTCTCTCTCTCATTTCTCTGTTCGCCATTGGTGGTGTGTGGCTCCATTTGTGACCTACCCATTAAGAATTGGTTCTCCTATCAAGTGCAATTTCAGTTGGCATATTTGTTGAGAGCCGACACGTGCCTCATTCCTGACCACGTCTTATGTTTTAAACTTCTACCTGAACGCCAAAGGTTAATTTGCTTTCAGGATTCTCTGATTGAGGGCACTCAATTTCATGATTCATGCTCTCTCTCCCTATCATGCACAATCCTTAAAAGTGGCTTTTAGAGTTTAACAATGAAATGGCCTTCGATTTTTTACAGCAGTGAAAACCCTATATAGACTGGTGATTTATATTACCGTTTTAGGCTAAGTATGCGAGCCAAACAGAACTCTCCGTGAGATCTGTTACGGTTGGTGGATTAACTTTACCTATCCACTTGAAAGCTTTGTCTCTTAATCTATAAATTGGAGCTACATCACCAGCAAAACACACACAAAAAGGAATTACAAAACAAAGCTGTCATTTTCATTAATGTGGAAGAAGGCCTCTGATTTCGGTAGTGTCGACATTGGCAATCAAAGAGAGCACTCATTCTCTCTAGAAACGTTGCCTCCATATGTGGCCCTTGAGAGTTACTTTGGCCCAACATTTCTAACAAGCATACCCCTCTGACAAGATTTTTGTTTCCATTTAATTTTTATTATGGGCAAGTGGTGACTTAGAGTCATTATTACTTCAATCATTTTGGTTTTGAAAATGATAGCAACAAGGAAGAGGTTCTCTCTCAAGCTAGTGCCTCCCTTGTTTATACCACACCCACTAACTTTGACATCTCCAGCAAACTCTGCCGTCTTCAAAGGTCAGTGTCTCTCTGTAAACTTTCATCACAGGCAGGTTGAAACCAATGGTTTCTCAGAACATCTCTATATAAGTGATAAGTCTAATACAGATTAGAGAAGCACAGGCAAATTATCTCATTAGTTGGGATCTGATATATGAATCACATAATATTACTAA